GGGGGGGGAGTCTCGCTGACACGTTCACCGGAGATAACGGCCACCACTCACGGCCCTATGTGCAGCACGCTGCTGCATTCGGATGTGTCCCCCACCCCCTAGCCGTCCCACCTCCAGGTCTCGCACACACATGCACACACACACACACACACACACATATTTACACTAGAACACACACAGGCAAGCGCGCTCACACACATACCCCCATGACGACTTCCTTTTCGCCGCCGCAAAAATGGGAAATGATTTTGCCGGGCGGATGAGCCGTATTCATTGCATCGGAATCGGAACATGACTGCAGCAGGAAGAGGAGGAGGGGAAAGAGAGAGAGAGAGAGAGAGAGAAGGCATCGGGCCGTCAGGCGAATATTATTATTCGTTAAGCTCGATGTGTTTTGGTTACATTTTTTAAGGAGGTGACAAAAATAAAAAGTGTGTTGTGTTTTGTTGTCTTATGACGATCTATCGCTGTTAACACCACCAGGTCGGTGAAGGCCTAAACAGGCATAGGACAGTATTGAAACAAAACCAGCACATGGAAATAAAGCACTCACCAAATATCGAAAGACGGAAGACGAAAGCACAATCACATTCTACTCTACATTTTATGTCAGACTCTGCTGGCGATTCAACGGGACCCGTGAGAAACACAGCGTGTTACCCCCCCCCCCCCCCCAATCCGCAGATCAGGCGATAAGCGGAAAACCGCCATCATCGCCAGTTCAATAAACTAATTTGTGATTGGATCGGATCAAAACGCGTAAGCGGAGCATCGCCTGGATTTAATTAGAATATGGCTGAGCGCCGCGAGCAGGAGCGGGAGATATGAAGGGAGGAAAGGGGGGGGGGGGGGGGGGGAGGCAGAAGGCCGGGCAAGTAGCAAAGGTCGACGGTGGTTGGAATTCACGAAAGCGGAGAAAACTGCTACTTTAAAGCAAAGCCGTCGGCTACTGCAACTGCAACTTGTGGTCCCGCCTAGATCGGCTTGCACCGCCCGCCCTTCTAATGCGAAACGCAATAGGCGAAAGAAACTCAGGAAAAAAAAAACTTTGGCCACACCCACCACCCCACTCGCACCACCAGGTCGGCGAAGGCCTACGCAGGCAGGACAGGGAGAGATAAATATTGAAACAAAACCAGTTTACGGTCTGCAAAGTGTAACAGTCCCTATCGACGGTTTTAACGACCGTCCAGCAGAGTGGCGCCCCCTCCTCTCCCCTCCCCCAGCATAATGTCCCATCCATTTTTCCATCTCCTTTATTTATCTGCTGATGCTTGTTCGAGCGCTTTTCTATCAAAGTGATTGGTGCTGGACGCCGATTTATGGCCACGCGTCTCCCTCAAAATATTGCGATTATTTTTTTTTTCGTCGCGTGTCCTTTGAAATCGGCGCGGAGAGCGATGGGAGTGAGATTTGTGGTGATTTGGCGACGAACTAAAAGCTCTTCTCTGATCTTCTAAATAGCTGCTGTGTTGCAGTATAGCGCCGAGTACCTTCCAAACGCAGTGCCCATAACCTTTTTTTACTTTGCACTTGGCCTTTTCCACAAAAATTATCCAGCTATATAAATGTGATATCTAGCTTTAGTTTTTAAAATAGGCTACTTTCCGCATCCACTGCTCAGTCAATTCAAATGTGTACCTTGTATACTTTAAATAAAGTGTACACGGCATGTATACCTTACTTAATGTGAGCGTGCTATGTATACTTCGAATAAATTTATAAATTCGTACACTTTATTTAAAGAATACAATGTACACATTTGAATTTGCAGAGCAGTGGGCCATTTTTGAGTGCAGTGTGCAGGGTCGCCCGGAACGAAAGGAGCAAGGAGCAGCAACAGCGATATCGCGTCTAGCGGTCTATTTTGCATGCGCCTGTTCATCTTGTAATGAGTCCCCAGAAAGAGAGAGGGAGAGAGGGTGGTGTGGGGGGCGAGGGAGGAGGGAGGGAGAGAGAGACATCGCTAATCGTTAGGGGAGCCCCGCCCCAGCATGGCCCCGCCCTTATTGACAAACTGGGAGCATTAAGGGACCTCCTGGGACACGAAGGGGCCTGCCGGGGACCTGCAGATAGCGTCACGACGCGTCGCAGTGCCGGGTCGCATCCGCGTCTCCTACTCCATAGTCACGGTTGTATCCACCCCACCCCCCCCTCTCTTTCTCTCTCTCTCTCTCTCTCTCTCTCACACACACACACACACACACACACACGCAAACTAGCTTCTTTTCCCGAGCTTCTTTGTTTTATATTAGACACCACAGTTTTGTTCCAGTCAGATATGACACTGCCTCCGCGCGGTACCCGCGCCCGCCCGCCCGGAACACACTTCGGACGCGCCCCACTCCCTCGGAGCGCTGCACCCCGACACTAATTGCAATGGTGTGGCCGCGTCCGCGTCGTCGTCGTCGGCGTGCTGCTGCTGCGCGGCCGCGCGGGGACCGGCAGTAACCCGACACCGCCGTGCCCGCCGTGCTGGGCGAGGGCGGAGCGGGGCGAGACAGAAGAAGGGCACAGTCGCAGTGTTGGTTTCTTATCCGCACACAGGCTGGCTGCCAACCGACCACCACCACCAGCCCCCGTGATATGAGTTAAATGGGGCGGACGCGGCCGGCCGAGATGAGGAGGACCCAAGTCATCAGAAATCGCGCACCTTCCTCCTCCAGCGGCGCGGCGGCGGCGGCGGTGGCGTCGAGCGGGCACCACGATAACGTGGGTCAGGAGGAGGGCGGGCGCGCTGGCAGGGGTGCCATCCGGCCGCGCGCGGGACACTATCAACAACTTACGTTGCGCCGCGCCCTCGCCTAGGCCCTGCCCGAGGCTGCCCGGCCCGGCGGCGGCACCCCCCGTGCACGACCCTCCCCTCCCCGTCCGCCCAGGGGTCGGGGCCGGCCGGCCAGCAGGTAGCAAGAAGCTATTCGCGCATTAGCGGACGGGTTAACGCGCGCTTATCGCAGGCCTCGTCGCCCCGCCCGCGCAGCCCGCGGCAAAAACAAGCTCCCGCCCGCGGCGGTGGTGGCCAGCCAGCCGGTGCGGTAGGGCTGTGCCCATGTCGCGGACGGGGACGCGGCTGACTGAGGCCGCCGGTGCCCTGTGATACCGGAAGGGTATTGTGCTGCGTCCGCCGTTCGAAGCTTCTCGTTAAGGGTTAGCCGCCGCGCAGAGAGAAATTAGGATCAATGGCTTTTTATTATATTTGGGGGGGGGGGCGTGGAGACAACTATACTTTACTTGTCAACCAGCTTGGACAAGGCACGAGGTGTCATAGGAAACAGCAACAGTGGTAGCTCAGCACTGCACTTTTATAGTTTTAGGTGCTTATAGTGAAGTAGGCTAACAACTGCTGATGAGCGCTAAAAGAGTCCTGCTCTTTGAAATAAAAATTCAATTTAAGTTTCATGCTAATCAAACCTGAATACGTGTCATTTTGGTGGCCTGGATTTCGCGGAAGTAAAATAGGGAGCGGATGGCGGAAACAGCCTCGGCGCACAGCGGACATTCAGCCTCGGCCGCGGTGGAGTGTCGGTAGAAAATGGTGCAACAGCGTTCATTGCGCTCATTCTGCTCAGGCCAGTCGCCGCAGCCGCAGTGCGGTAGCATGACACAGTGCAGCGACAGGGGCGCTCGTCGCACCAGGGTCTTGACCGCTGGGGCCAGCTTCGCCACTCTCGGACAGTCTGGGGGCACACAACTGGAATGTCAAAGCTCTGCGCCGCACGTAACGCGATACGTCAGATGTGAGCAAGTTGCAACTGCACGAGAAGTAGGGAGTAGTGTCTTACCTTCTTTAAATGTAGAACACCCTTCTTCTTTGAAGATATTAAAAATGAGTAGCTCAAGGGCGGGGATGATGGTGGGAGCCATGCCACAGAGTATTTCAAGTGACTTTTCGCCATGGCAATAGTGAAGGACGAGCGAGTGCAGCCCGGGCAGGCCTGCGAGCGTCCACTGCAGGTCAGTCTTGGAGGAGATGTCCGTCAGAACCAGGTGCCGGAGGACGGCAAGCCTGCCCTCCCCGAGGATACGCAGCATCTTTGGGGTAGGACTGTCGAGATCAAGGCGCTCGAGTGGGCCTGACCAGGATTTCAACAGTTTGGCCATCTGAGGACAAGAAATGGGCGAGTAGTCTAGAGGTTTGGGGTAGGCCACCCCTTGTAGCACATATCATTCATAGAACGTTTACGGAACCTTCAGATTCAGAGGACCAAAAGAACGTTCTGAGAACGTTGTTTGAATGTTTGGTGCTACAAGGGACTGCCGTGTGAGAAATCGAAATCGGGGCGACATCGAATCGATATCGAATCACCACCAAATATCAGTAATGTGTCGATTTCAGGATCATTTCAGGCCGATTCGACACATTCGACAGCAATGAGGGTCCGATACATGGTTCCGAACTCATCATCTTTCACCGGGTTCTTGCCGTCATACCTCTGCAGGGCGTTTGCTCCATTGAATAATAAGGTGCTTTAGAAGCGGTTGGAACGGCCGCAGCCCCGCAGCCGCGCCTTTGCCTGTCACCACCTTCAGACACTGGAGGGGGTTGCTGTTGACGGGGCGTGCGTCCAACGCGTCCAACAGCGGGACCAGTTCTCGGTCGCCCACCGACACGGACCGCAGCCGTCCTCTGCAAGCAAGTCGGGGATTCGAACACGGGCAAACTTGGGTGCAGTGCATGTATGCGAAAAGTAAAACTTAAGGGAGGCCACCTGTGTGCCTGCAACAGCAAACGGAGAGCATCGATCGAGGGCTCGAAGTCGCAGCTCTCGTTCTGGTCCAATTCACCAATCAGTACGGTGTGCAGTCTCGGCAACACCACATCCTACAAATAAGGACATCACGATAGAGCAGGGGTTTGCCCCTCCCCCCTCCATTTTCCGCCTAGCCTCACAGCGCCCGTGTTCTCACCTGCGGCCAATGAGCTCTTCCGCCGTTTACGCTACCAAAATTTAAGCGCAAAATCTCTATGCGTCTGGTGTACTGCAAGTTGAAGTAGATCATGTTGACATCACTTCCGCAGTAAGAAAGATGTTTCAACCGGGGGGCAAACTCCCGTACGAGGCAGGCTAAGAATGTGTTCACGCTGGTTTCGACGGCCAAGCAGGAGACGACTGCCGCCGAACGGTCACTGCAAGTAGGTGAGCAAACAAGTAGTTACAGAGTAAGACTGTGCCGGGTGTTGCATAAAAGACACAGGTGCAGGCGGGTTTGCCTACCCAAGGGGCTCTGGCGCCTTACGGGCAGAGCGGGTAGGCAAACCCGCGCGCACCTGTGTCTTTTATGCAACACCCGGTACGTGCAGAGCGGTTACCATACTGAGGGGAAAGCCTTGCGGCCCCCTTACGGCTCGTCCCGTACCTCTCATAGCAATTAAAGCAGCGTAACTCTATAGACGTGTCAGCAAATGTGTCAACACAACACAACTTGTCCACAGGAGGTGCGACCCGCAGCAGGTCCCAGAGACCTCCGGCGCCGCGTACGTGTTCGTCTTCGGCGAGCTTCTTCCCCCGCCACAGGGACCAGTGCGCTCTGGCTAGCTCGCCCAGACGGCAGCTCGCCATTCCCGCGGCGGCCAGGTCCGTCATCGGTAGGAAGGAGAGCACTCGCAGCAGGGGCAGATCTGGCAGCGACATCAGCGTCTGTCAACGGCACCGTGTGAAGCTCGGTGAGAACCAGTGAGAACAGTCTACTTCGTATGACCGAGGAAGAAGAACAGCGGGTAGAACTTACAGGTTTCTAGATTGGTAGAGGCTTTACTTCACTTCCCACGACCCACAACCAGGTGACGCCGAGGCAGGGAGCTCTCGATCAATCGGGAACTTTTACGTTCTACTCCGTTCCCCCCGCTATTCTTCTTTCCCCACAATATACCCGTGTGATGAAGGTTAAGTTTTTTATTTACATACCAGTTTCTTCGGTTCATTATAAAGAGGTGAACCATCTATCGCCGTTGCTTGCTGGACTCGTTTTGGTTGAGACAGCATTGCGTCTGCAGATTTCCCTTCGAACGCGGAGTGGATTGGCAGCAGGTGCAGCAGGTCTTAATTTACAAAATAACAGATAACCGTGCGGTAAAACCCTAACCTCACATTCTGTCTCCGATTTCCGACGAGAGCAATCTTGCGCCTGTCATTTACCGCGCATCGGACTACGTACTGGACTCTCGCGAGATAAATGATAACCTGAGGTTGAGTCAAAACAGTATCCTTTTTATTAGGAAAGTTTCATACTGTTATCACGAACAACAACTAACCAAAGCACAAAAGCTTTGCAAAACAACGCACTGCAGAGGGCAGGGCAGGGATAGAGCTCAAGGATCTGACGGACCTGCCGCCAGAGTTCGCAGCGATCGCTCAGGTGGGTCAGTGCTTGAGGGCCTATCAAGTAACATTCATCCTACATCCATGTTGCCAGATGTTGCAGTTGTCGTTTGTTTTGGTTTGAAATCGCCCAGTTCGGTGAGCGGGGAGAGGTTATGTGACTACGACAGGCCCGTAAATGCCCCGCGACGGCCCCGCGAGGTCAGAAATTATTCTAGAGGGGTAGATTGCGGAGTTCGCGAGGGTGACTCGCGAAGGAGTAACCCGCGAAGTCGCGGGGGGTAGGACGCGAGGGGTGACTCGCGAGCGCTGACGGGAGATCCTCGCGACAGGACAGGCCGCGGTGCAGGTCCTCACGCGGTTTTTGCGGCTCTCGCGCCCTCGCGGGGCCGTCGCGGGGCGTTTACGGGAGTGTTGTTGTCACACAACCTCTCCTCGCTAACCAAACTGGGGGATTTCTGACCAAAACAAACGACAACTGCAACATCTGGCAACATGAATGTGGATGTAGGATGCAGGTAACTGGATACAACCTGAGTTTTTTGTTGTTGGTTTTTTTTAGGCGCTGTTTTAGGTTGTCGTTAGTTTTAAGTGCGTATAAGGAACAACTGCTGATCAGAGCTGTAAAGAGCCGTGCAATTTTTGAAAATTAATTTATTCATTTAATTTTCACACTAATCAAACTTGGATACGTGTCATTTTAGTGGCCTGTATATCGTGGTGGTAATATAGGGAGCGGATGGCGGAAACAGCCTCGGCGCACAGCGGACATTCAGCCACGGCCACGGTGGAGTGTCGGTAGAAAACAGTGCAACAGCGCTCATTGCGCTCATTCTGCCCACGCCAGTGGCCGCCGCCGCAGTGCGGTAGCATGACACAGTGCAGCGACAGGGGCGCTCGTCGCACCAGGCTCTTGACCGCTGGGGCCAGCTTCGCGACTCTGGGACAGTCTGGGGGCACACCATACTTAATGTCAAAGCACTGCGCCAACACGTAACGCGATACGTCAGATTTGATCAAGGTGCAACCGAACTGCACGAAAAGGCAGTGTGGTAGTGTCTTACCTTCTTGATACTTAGAACAGCCTTCTTCTTTGAAGCTCTTAAAAATGAGTAGCTCAAGGGCGGGGATGATGGTGGGAGACATGGCACAGAGTATTTCAAGGGACTTTTCCCCATGGCAACGTCGGAGGACGAGCTTGTGCAGCCCGGGCAGGCCTGCGAGCGTCCACTGCAGGTCAGCCTTGGAGGAGATGTCCCTCAGATCCAGGTACCGGAGGCCGGCGAGGCTGCCCTCCCCGAGGATACTCAACATCTTTGGCGTGGCACTGTCGAGATCAAGGCGCTCGAGTGGGCCCGACCAGGACTTCAACAGTTTGGCCATCTGAGGACAAGAAATGAGCGACTTGGCGAGAGGTTTGGGGTAGGCCACTACCATGTGAGAAATCGAAATCAGCGCGACATCGAATCGATATCGAATCACCACCAAATATCAGTAATGAGTGTCCGATATGGGGTACGTCAAATCGCATCCACCCAACCAACCAACTGACCGCGAACTAATGTGGCGTGGCAGTTGTGCACGTTTCAAGCGAAAATAATTTTGTTTCAGGTCTGAAAATGATCAAATGCGCGATTTACCCGCATTACAATATGCAATTTGAGCCAAATTAGTGAGTGTCGCGAGAGCGGTTGGGTGGGTGGCTGGGTTGGGTGCGACTTGACGTACCCATGGTTCCGAACTCATAATCTCTCCTTGGGTTCTTGCCGTACCTCTGTAGTGCGTGAAGAGGTCCAGTGAATGATGAGGTGCTTTAGCACCGGTTGGAACGGCCGCAGCCCCGCAGCTACGCCTTTTCCTGTCTCCACCTCCAGACACTGGAGGTTGTTGCTGTTGCTGGGGCGTGCGTCCAACGCGTCTAACAGCGGGACCAGTTCTGGACCGCCCAGCGACACGGACCGCAGCCGTCCTCTGCAAGCAAGTCGGGGGTTCAAAAACGTTGAAAATTAGACAGTGCATGTATGCGAAAAGTGAAAGTTAAAGGGGGCCACCTGTGTGCCTGCAACAGCGAGCGAAAAGCATCGATCGCGGGCTCAAAGTCGCTATCCTGCTCCTCGTCCAACTCACTAATCACTACGGTGTGCAATCTCGGCAACACCACATCCTGGAAATAAGGACATCACGATAGAGCAGGGGGTTTGTCCGTACCCCACCCCCACCCCTCATTTCCCCCCTTCCTTAGCCTCACAGCTCCCAGTTCTCACCTGCGGCCAAGACGCTCTTCCGCCGTTTATGGCCTCACAATCTAAGCCCAAAATCTCTATACGTCTGGCGTACTGCAAGTTGAAGTAGAGCATGTTGAGATAATTTCCGGAGTAAGATAGATGTTTCAACCGGGGGGCAAACTCCCGTATGAGGCAGGCCAAGAAGAATGCGTCGCTGGTGGTTACCACCAAGCAGGAGGCGACCACTGCCGAGCGCTCACTGGATAGGGAAGCAAACGATTGGGTGCAGAGTAAAACTGAACATGCAAAACGGTTACTACCGACAGGAAAGCCTCCGGCTCTGAACGGCTCGTCCCCTACCTCTCATAGCTTTCAAAGCACCGTGCGTACGAATTAGCAATCGAGTCCTCACAACACAACTTGTCCACAGGCGGCGCGACCCGGAGCAGGTCCCAGAGACCTCCGGCGCGGACGGGGCCAAGCTTCTTCCCCCGCCACAGGGACCAGTGCGCTCTGGCCAGCGCGCCCAGGCGGCAGCACGCCGTCCCCGCGGCGGACAGGTCCTTCATCGGTAGGAAGGAGAGCACCCGCAACAGGGGCAGATCCGGCAGCGACAGCAGCGTCTGTCAACAGCGCCGTGTGGATCTCGGTGAGAAAAGCCCATTTCGTCTGACGGAGGAAGAAGAACAGCGGGTAGAACATAAAGGTTCCTAGATTGGTAAACGCTTTACTAAACTTCCCACGACCCACAACCGGGTGACGCCAAGGCAGGAAGCTCTCGACCAATCGGGAACTTTTATGTTCTACTCCGTTCCACCGCCTATTCTTCTTCCTCCATTAGCCGAAATACACTTTAATTGCCACCCACAATACAAAAGTGTGAGCAAGGTAAAGTTCTTTTACATACCAGTTTCTCCGGTTCATCTATCGCCTTAGCTCCTCGGGCACGTTTTGGTTGAGATAGCATTGCGGCTGCAGATTTCCCTCAAACGCGGAGTGGATTGGCAGCAAGTCTTAATTTACAAAACAATAGATGACCCTGCCTCGGCTTCAACTGGAACAAAAACAGGAGCGGGTCTGCAGTGAAACCATAACCTCACCTTCCGACTCCGATCTCCGGCGAGTAGAGGGCAATCTTGCGCCTGTCGATCATCTTTCATCGGACTACGTACCGGAAACACACTTGCTAGCAAAATTATATGCTAAGGTTGAGTCAAAACAGTATTCTTCTCGTGTGGACGGTTTTAAACGAATAGTGACTAACTAGAGCACAAAAGGTCTGCAAATCAACTCACTACGGCACAAGGCATAGATAGGCAAGGTAGAGGGCAGAGGCAGAGCTCAAGGCCCCGCCCGACTCGCCACCAGAGTTCGCAGCGATCGCTCAGGTAGGGGTGTGGGGGTGTACCGACTTGTGCGTGTTTATCTTTAAGGAAGGCGCTCTTTCTGTCCTGGCCTCTAGTGAGTCCGCCTGTGTGGTAGGCAATTTGCAATTTACTATACAAAGCCCCTGTATGTCAGCAACCCACTGTCCACTTGACTAGAAACTCTTGATCGCGGCTAAATCAAGAACACTCACTGATCTTCGGGTTCAGCCAGCTCTCGCCGCAGTGCCGCAGTTCCACCCCCCCC